TATATATATATATATATATATATATATATATATATATATTGGGAGTGTGATTAAGTTCTCGCCGTTTCACCATCAGTAAAGTAAAGTAGTGCAGGCGGTATAAAAATTTTGTGTGTATAATTCAAGATGATGAAGCATCTATATTGAAGTTCTATAACCTATGTTAAAATCAGTGCGTGTCTTTCCATTAACCTATAAAGAACATTTTCTTTTCGTAGCGTAAAACATGTCAAATTTCGTGCCAAATAAACCGTTTTTGCGGGGAATTTTACTGCACTACTTTATTCAGAAGAAATCTGTAACTGAAGCACACAGAATTCTTGTAGAAACTTATGGTGATCATGCTCTGTCGGAAAGAACATGCAGAGATTGGTTTGACGTCTCTCGGCCTCAGTTCGTACGGCACCCAAGATCCTTCCTTTTATATCATTCCTAATGCTGTCAGACGTTTCGAAACTGTTGTTCGATCAACTCCTAATGATTTTGCAACATCGGATTGCGTCTGACATGGATCTTCAGCAAGTAATGTTTCCAATTCTTCGTCTTGAAACTTCAGCTACAGTAATCCCAAGCGTAAAAAATCGTGGGTTAAGCCCGGCGAAGCAGTAGTATCAACGCCAAAGCGGAATATCCACGGTTCCAAGCTCATGCTCTGCATTTGGTGGGATCAGCTGGGGGTAGTATTTTACGAGCTGCTCCAACCCAACCAAAACATCACAGGAGATCTCTATCGACGACAATTGATGCGTTTGAGCATTGAAAGAAAAACGGCCGCAATATGAGCAAAGACACGATAAGGTGATTTTGCTGCATGATAACGCTCGGCCGCATGTCGCGTTACCGGTCAAAACATACTTGGAAACGCTGAAATGGGAAGTCCTACCCCACCTGCCATACTCTCCAGACATTGCGCCTTCTGATTACTATTTATTTCGATCAATGACTAACGGCCTGGCTGAGCAACTCTTCACTTTATATGAAGAAACGAAAAAATGGATCGATTCGTGGATAGTCGCAAAAGAAGTGTCGTTTTTCGACGTGGAATTCAAATGCTGCCAGAAATATGGGAAAAAGTAGTCTCCAGCGATGGGCAATACTTTAATTGACTTGTTTTTTTATTATTTTTTTTAAATAAAGGATTTATTTTCACAAAAAACGGCGAGAACTTATTCACCCTCCCAAT